ATTTGGAATCACCATTTTCCAGCTCCGCTAGGTGTGAACTCTCCATGTTCATCGGTCAGGTGAAGAGCTCCAGACATTCACATTCTTTCTTTTTTGTAAGAACGCTGGTTAGTAAAGGAAGTGAATAGGAACTACCTTTCCGAGGCTGAGTGCTTTTTCACAGGAGAGTAATTCGACAGTAAGACCGAAGTCTATCGACTATCCGTCAGAGCCAGACAGACAGACTATCCGTCATACCAGATCATTATTGAGAAGTATGTATGAAATACTTTGTTGCTGTGAGAAAAATTGCTGTAGGGTACGCATAGAACTATAATTTTTTGATCATCATGATATGTAGGAGGTAGTAATAGAGCTGTGTTTAAATGTACTTCAGTACACTGAATTTGCATGGTTAGGGCAGGGTCCTGGTGATGCTAAGAACCAGTGGTTAGAGACTGATGATGATATGGCGCGAAATCGTTTTCATCGGAACATATGCATTCACTCTGTGTAATCTCCCATATCCACTAGACAGTTCTAGGTTACTATGCTTTCTCTCTTCCATTTCGGTTTATTATAGTTCTCATATATGTCTTCTCTTTTGTGTACCTTAGTGTGGTACATAGACCACCCTAGTTGAGGTCTTCGGGACGGTAAAAACCAATGGTTGGAAACAATTGGTGATATGACTCAAAATCGTTCTCAATGGCTAGGCTAGTACAGATGCATCCACTCCCTGTGACCTATGATTTCCAATGAAACTTTTGTTCTTCGTTATTACTATTCATTTGTCTCACATCTCTGTTTACTGTCTCTATTATGCATTTCTTCTACTTTCTTCTCTTGCTTTGTGTCCTGTAAGGAGGGAGTGTGGCGACTTGAACTTCCGCACATATGTGCAAAGTTCTATGTCGAAAACAGACAGACAGTGGTACATAGAGTGGAGCGACTTAATCTGGTGCACTTCTGTGTAAAGTTGTATGCTAAATCTCATTCAGTCTGAAGTCAAACTTCCTTGAGACGTATCTCAGTTACCTTAGTCGATTAAAATTTTTAACCGCTTATCTGTTGACTTTTTTGCCCACTACTACTAACACTGCCTTTAATCTTAACACTACTTACGCCTTGTCTCCACCCCACATGCGCAATGAATCGAAGAAATCTATCTTCAAAAGTCTGCAGTGCTTATGTTTTCTACCCTTAGCTGTAATGTCATTTCCATAAATTAGGAAAGAACAATCTCGTCCTCAGTACTCAATACCAAAGTTGGAAATCGTTACAGGTCAATCCTGTAGCGTCATATTACGTTTAACAGAACACAAAGTACAAGGTTGATTACTTACTTACTTTTACTTTACTTCGGCTATCTCCTACGGGAGGATGAGCCGGCTTCATGAACGTCTCGAATCATCGCTGCCCAGGCGCGGCAATTTGTAAGAGAGTTCATGAAGTTGATTCTAGAATATTAGCGCTGGTACAATGTGTTTAATTCTAGATACGACTCATAAATTTACCGGAGAGAAGAAATGATGAAAGTAGTAATTCTGTTAACTTTTAATTGAATATGCCTAATGTATTTCTCTGAGTGTGAGCCGTTCGCCTGCAGTGCTTTTGGAGTTCCATTCTTAATCGTCCTCTAAGGCAATGCGATGTAACTGTAACTAATAACGAATTCAGGGGTTTTGGATTGCAATGTACGCTATGCTATTATTTCTCTTACTAACCATATTATTTGTCGCACGTAATCATAGTGTCCAAATGTAAGATGATGTTACAGGACTGGACTACACTGACTCCTAGTTTAGAAATAGGTAGGGAAGTGGTAGAGCACGTTGACCGCTTCACTTATCTGGGAAGTTGCATCAGCCAGTGCCAACGGGTTGATCTCTGACGAAATCTCAGCTGAGTACGGATACAGAAGGCTAGTTTCGAATATGCCAGTTTACGCCGTCTCTGGCGTAGACGTGATATCCGACTTGCTTTCGACCAAAGGGCGGGTGTATTGCTCATCAGTCCGCTCCGTCCTCTTTTATGGGTGTGAGTGACACATGGCCATTGAGAGTGGAGGACATGGAAAGCCTGGTTAGCTGTCTTTGATCATAGGTGCCTGCGCTCCCGTGTGAAGTGGTATGATAGGGTGAGCAATATTGAGGTTATACGTCGAGTTCTAGATAAGCAGGGGAAATCAATCGACGAGGTTGTGAAGTTACATCGACTGAGATGGTTAGGACATGTGTCACTTATGCCTAGTCATCGCCTTCCTCGACGACAGGCAATGTTAGCTGATATAGGGTCAGGCTGGAAAAGATCTAGTGGTGGTGGAGGTCAAACCAGTCAATGAAATCCACGACAGTTAATTTAACCAGTCACGTAGGAAGGTGTAGATTTCCTGACTGACTGGCTGGGGTTCTCAGGACGGTAAAAATCAATGACGACTGGAGGTAATTGGTGATATGACTCAAAATCGTTCTCAATGGCTAACGCAGATGTATCCACTCCTTGTGACTTATGATTTCCAATGAAATTGTTTTGTTTTTCGTTACTTCTATTCCTTTGTCTCACACCTCTGTTTACTGTCTCTATTATGCATTTCTTCTACTTTCTTCTCTTGCTTTGTGTCCTGTAAGGAGGGAGTGTGGCGACTTGAACTTCCGCACATATGTGCAAAGTTCTATGTCGAAAACAGACAGACAGTGTCCAGTAGCGCATCTGCAACCATTCATGTTATAGATGTGGTGATCACATTTTTTTTTCTGCATCACTTGATTCCTGAAACTGTTCAGTTTTTTAGTGACTTTTTCAAATGTTTCTCTCTGTGTGTGCTAGTTATGAACCATAAAAATGCGTTGGTTTCACGCACTTTAAATTTAAAAACTAATATTTTGCCTAAAGTCTGATACCGTGAACAAAACAGTTTCATTGGAAATCATAGGTCACAGGGAGTGGATGCATCTGTACTAGCCTAGCCATTGAGAACGATTTTGAGTCATATCACCAATTACCTCCAGTCGTCATTGATTTTTACCGTCCCGAGGACCCCAACCAGTCAGTCAGGAAGTCTACACCTTCCTACGTGACTGGTTAAATTAACTGTCGTGGATTTCATTGACTGGTGAAGCCATGTTTTGGTTTGACCTCCACCACCACTGGATCTTTTCCAGCCTGACCCTATATCAGCTAACGTTGCCTGTCGTCGAGGAAGGCGATGACTAGGCATAAGTGACACATGTCCTAACCATCTCAGTCGATGTAACTTCACAACCTCGTCGATTGATTTCCCCTGCTTATCTAGAACTCGACGTATAACCTCAATATTGCTCACCCTATCATACCACTTCACACGGGAGCGCAGGCACCTATGATCAAAGACAGCTAACCAGGCTTTCCATGTCCTCCACTCTCAATGGCCATGTGTCACTCACACCCATAAAAGAGGACGGAGCGGACTGATGAGCAATACACCCGCCCTTTGGTCGAAAGCAAGTCGGATATCACGTCTACGCCAGAGACGGCGTAAACTGGCATATTCGAAACTAGCCTTCTGTATCCGTACTCAGCTGAGATTTCGTCAGAGATCAACCCGTTGGCACTGGCTGATGCAACTTCCCAGATAAGTGAAGCGGTCAACGTGCTCTACCACTTCCCTACCTATTTCTAAACTAGGAGTCAGTGTAGTCCAGTCCTGTAGCATTATCTTGCATTTGGCGGGAGCTAATCGGATGCCAATCAATTGTAAATTGCAGCTCAAGGTGTTCAGAAGATTCCGCTGTATTGTGTCTGATTTTTCGCCTAGAAGGACTATATCGTCTGCATATTCTAAGTCAACGAGATCATTCCGTGGTGGTAACAAGTGAATCCCTGAGTCGCTGAAGTGAGTTAGGGTTAAGTCCATTAGTACATCTCTGATGAAGTTGAATAGAAATGGGGATAATGGGCATCCTTGGCAGACACCACTAGTGGTCACCACTTCAGATGACAACTCGCCGTAAGCCCTCCCTCACCTGGCTGCATGAGTACGAGTAGAGTGCCTTAATCAGTGCAATGTATTTTCTCGGGATTCCCTTTATAGGCAAGCATTGGCAGAGAACTGAAGTTAAAGTACAAAATTCCTTCTCCTTGAATATCATAGTGTGGGATTGCTAAGTGGACATTAATTATGTTACACCCTTCGCAATGTTTTTGGTTCACTTAATTGATAATTAAAACTTTTTATCCTCACCATTTTTTTTAAAGTAAGTGCTCAAAATATTTGTGTGTTGAATTCAGTAGATTTGCAGCTTACTATTAGTCAACCACATTCGACAAACGGACCACCATTTCAAGCAGCTCCACTCCACGTATCAAATGATATCGCCAATTCTGATAGACTCATTATGGTTCATTGTATTATCCTGTATTCTAATATGTATCCGATTACTCTAAAGGAGGCCGGGGATTTGAAAAGTATCCTTTCATTTCAGATGACAATTTTTCAAACACATCTAGGAAACCAGTTAGTTAGGTTTACTTGAACGACTTCGATCCCGTTTCCTGTTGGTTTCAACGCTCTGATCATCTCTCCTGCCAGAGCTAAACCCTGGCTACACTATCTGCTGACTCTTTAGTTCTAGCTCGCCTAACCTTGTTGTCCACGCTGTTCTCAACACCGCCCCAACTAGTGAAGGGAGAATAATAACACTTACGACTGCTGAAAGGTGTATTTATTAGTGATAATAGATTATAGTGATACACAATCGCACCGCAACGAAGCTACCGAGCTCTTGTCCCTTGAAAACCCAATTTACCCAGATAAAAAAATTTATCGTTGAAGGTTTTATTGATTTGACGAATTTCTTTGTTCTCCCCTACACACCCATGGAAATCTTCAGTATCTTTACGTTTTCTGTGTTAGAATAATGCTTACAGAGTTGTTAATATACATATGTGTAACATAGTGTATTCTATACATTTTCTTCATAGTCAATACGTATTTATAAAGGTTTGTCACCTTTTTATGTTTTGTTTTTTTTTACCTTAAGTGAACTTCACACTTCTCTGGTTTCACCATGTCATGACTCATGTTTTGGACGACCGCATGATATGGACTATCCTGTCCCTCCAGAGTATCTGATACGACATTTAATTACTGATCGTTTACCTGATCCGCCAATGAATCAATTATCCGAGGAAACATTGTTTTGGTTATTTTATAATTGTTGTCGAGAAGAAGCACAATTAGTTGTAGCCAAAGAACTGTGAGTCTTTTTTGAGAAAAAAGTTTGTATAATTAGTAATCTTGAACTTTTCAAAATTAAATTGGTCAAAATTTAACGAAAAGGTGCATTTTGTTGATTTTGTAAGAATTTTAAGAACCTTGAAGATCTTATTTGAAGGCTAATTAATTATTTATTTATTTGAATTGATTTCTCTTACATACTGACTTACATACAAATTGATTGAACTTCCATCTGAATGTAAAGTGTCATTACTCGGGTAAGCTGCGTCTCGACAGTTAATTTAAGAGGATTTTGTTTTCAACAACAGTACGCTCATCAATGAGAGATTAACATTTTGTGTGGCAACTTTTAACCTTGAAATATTTGAAACTTCTGTGTAAAACATTATGTTTTCCGGTCCCTGTGGTGAGTCCCATAATATATTTCCATTCGAAAATTATTAATGGTGAGTACCGTCAATAAGCGTCGGTGGTGCAGTGATAGAATGCTCGCCATGTGGTTCGAGGTTTGATCCCCAACCAACGCACTACTCAAAAACCCCCCTTAGTTGGTGGCAGGCCCGGTAAAAGGGGAAGGTTGGGTGTGAGTAACTACTATGAGCCGCCCTACTCCGTATAAAATGATACCACTGCTAATGAAACTTGAGAACTTAAACTGAAAGTCCTATATTTCACTGGGAATGCAAAGCAATACCAAAAGAATACATAAACCATCAATAAGCACAAAAACCTTGTAAATTACTCTTTTTCAACTACATACATCATTTGACCTATTTACTAGCCAGACTATGATGAAATGTAATTAATAATCGATTTCTTCGGTGGGAGTATCTTCAATTTCTTTAGTAAAATTTGTGAAGCTATCGCTCTCACTAGATTCTAGATGCCACTGAATCACCCGTTTGAATCCCTCTCCACCTACTAAAGTGGTCAGGTTGACGGGAAGTGTCTGTCTGGATTCAACATAGAACTTCTCACCGAAGTGCAGCCGTTCCAGTTGCCGCGTTCAAAATAGAACACAAAGGTAGACAAGAAGATGAGTGAAGAGAATGAATAGAGTTTGACAAGTTTAATAAGAGTGAAACAGAATGGGTAATGGTAGAAAGGAATATGAAAGATTAGAGAGACTGAATACATGTGCGCTGGCCATTTACAACGATTTTGAGCCATGTCACCTATTGTCTCCAGCGGTTGATTCTTAGAGTCAGTCCCGAGGGCCCCAACCCGGGAGTCTGCATCTCCGTACCTGACTCAGTTTAACTGTCAGGGATTTCATGGATTGATGGCATGTTTTTGTTTGGCCACCACTTACTCTTTTCCAACCTGCACCTGTATCAGCTAGTAATGCCTATCGTCGGGGGAGGCGATGGTTAGGCATGCACAGCACGTGACCTAGCCATCTCAATCTATGTAACTTTATAGCCTCGTCGATTGATTTTCCCTCTTTGTCCAGCCGGGAAGTGTAGTGTCGTTATTCCTCACTGAGTAAGTAAGTAGGGCTCCATGACAACTGCATGGGAGGAATATCAATGCTTGTTGAGCAAAAATTCCTTTCTTCATTTCTTTCCTAGGAAGAATTCATAATTCGTGATGTGTTAGTGTGACCACCAGCCATTGTCATCGGCGAGTAGTTGTCCTCACGCCCAACCAGATCGACCCACTAGTAGTTACAGCTTATCACTAGAAATAACTTTAGTCAACTTCGTCGTGTAGCCAGTTACTATCGAGCATCAGATTAATTATCAAGAGTTAGTTTGTTGCGACTTGATCTGTTTCAAGTTTGGTCACAGATTGATATCAGTTAGAGAACTATTGGCCAACCAATGAGTACTGGACAACTGTTTAGTCCTGCTTTGGGACTCATCAGTAGTACGTGCCCATGGGGCTTCGGATGTATGCAAATTGAAACCCTACAAACCAACTCTTGAAAGGTAATCTTATATTCACTAGTGACTGGCTGTAGAATAAAATTGCGTCGGAGTTCTAGTGAGAAGCCTCGTGATCAGTAGAGGTCCATCTGGTTGGGCATGAGGACAAATACTCTGCACAGATAACATTAGCTAGTGCTAGTACCTCTAAAATCACAAATTGGTAGAAGTTGAAATTCATGGGCCGTTGGATCGGATCCCATTTGCCTTGTAACCATAAGGTCCTGGGTTCGAACCTTTGAAGAAAGGAGCCCCCAACTAGGACGAAACGGCTGTCCGATACTTCAAATTGGTTCTCTAATTGGTACCAATCCGTATTTAAACTTGAAAAATAAACGAAATGCTTATAATTGGGCTCTTAAGAATTAATAAAATATCTAAGAGTTATAAGATTTCAGTGGTTTTTGTATCAATAAGTACTCTTCTAACTCAGTAGTTTTGTAGTAGACTTTGACGGTAATTAAGAAATACTAAATTCCTGAATGCAAGGTTAGATAGGTACTTGAGAAATATACTTAGCTTTATAGTGTATTGATTGTGTCTCTCATATAACTCTTTGCAAGCAGTCGTTCGGTATTCTATTTCTAAAAAAATTGATTTCAGTGTCCTATAAAATGTGTTTCTCGGAAGTGAGAATCTTTGACGAATACTTTGAAAAAAAGTATTTAATAGAAGTGGATTTTAATTGAACACTAGTAACTAGTGTGACGTGTCTTCTCTTTTTTTGTACAAACTGAATTCCACCAGTCAGTCTGGTTTGCAATGTGGCCACCATTCTAGGTAGCTCGCCATCACGGTGCACATTGATTTGATGATATATTAGATTAGAGACATGAGTTCCTTCAAGGTAGTTGCAGATACGCCTTGCTGATGAGTGAGTGCCAACTAGCACGAAACCAGGTCAACCAAGGCTTCCTGTGGCCGATTGCCTCCAACTATCTAATATCATCAGAAGTGGATTTTTACAAGTTTATGATTTACTTAGTAGACGTGTGATTGTTAATGACTTTTATCGTCTGCCTAGTTTCAATCTGTCCTCTTCCATTTTGTATCTAGGAGATGATTATTGAAGCAGTAAAAATAATCTTTTAGGTTAGGAGAACATTCTTGAAACTTCTAACCGACTAAAAAGTCTGAAGGTGATGTGTAGCGCTTTGTGTGCTACATAGAATGTGGCAACTCAAACTTATTTATTTATTTAAACGCATAAAAAACTTCGTACAATATGGCACCAAGAAGGATGCGCCACACAATAATAAAACAACACAGATCAAAAGAAAAAAAGAAAGAAAAGAAAAAAACATAAGTAGAGAACTGATAAAGAACTTCATCTGGAAGGAAAACAGTCATGCTTAACAAGTTCAAACAGTATTGGTTAACTATCATCGGGAAGGGAAGAAAAAAGGAGATTGCAACACGTTCGCCATTGATGACTGCGATTCTTGGCCATATCCGATAACGTTTCGAGCTACTGATTTAAGCTGTTGCTTCATTTGATTTATTGTGTGAGGGCTGAGATACTGCCCGGGCGCCCAGACCGAAGCAGGTGGTTTTATTAAGGGACCGCCCCCCCCGAGCCTTTGACTTGGAGTCTAAACCGGAAGGCAGCGGAGCAGCGTCAGGAGCTGCATTCCTATGGTTTCCGATGACGCATATGGGTTCATATGCCGTTTGATCCGATTGGATACTGGGACCCATGTACCCCATGGTAACTGCTTTTAGTTTAACCGCTATCCAAACAACCTTCCTGACATGGTAGGACCTACAGGGGCATGAGTCTCAGACAGTTTAGCTTGTTGGGTCATTGCGGTATTGAAGCCCGACCACCACCACGACAAGGTAGCAGTTATCGGCCGGGGGCAACTCAAACTGCTGCTTATCTGTGCAAAGTTCTACGTTGAGACCAGTTAGTCAGTCAGTCAGAGTTTTTTGTGAATAGTGTTGTATGCAAAATGTAGTGTTTTTAATGGTTCTTCTTCTTCCCCCCCCACCGCATCTCTTTCTTCATTTAAAGATATCAACGTGAATGGCGGTTTCATAAAAAAGAACAAATATGGCTTACACGTATAGTTGGAGCAAATTTTACATCGGATAATAATTCTGAACAAGGTGATTATTATTTTTGGGATCCACTCAAAGCACAAAAATCAACTCATCAAATGACTATTTTGTATTCTGATCTTGACAACGCGCCAGCAGCATTTCGTCTTAGTTCAGGCACATTAAGCGCCTTTGTCAGTATTGGTTTACCCGGTGGTCCTCATGGTGCTGGTAATGTTCAGCCTCATCCTCCTCCTCCTGCTCCTCCTGCTGCTGCTCCACCATTACCAACACAACAGCATCAGCAGCAACAACAACAGTTGGTTACATATCAACAATCGCGTCAACTACAACACCAACAGCAGCAACAACAACAGAGCCAACAAACATTTTCGCATACACATCATCAAACACTTATGAATAATAATAATATTAATAATACTGTTAATAATAATACATCTGGATCAATAATTCCGTATACGGCTAACTCACTTACTACTGGATCGCCATCAATGATGAATTCATCGAATGCAGCAGCAACATTGGCTAGTCTTTTCAACACTCGACAACAACATCAACAGCAACAACAACCATTGAAACCGCTACAACAACAACAGCAGCAACAACTCAACTCGAATGTGAATTATTTTCCACCATCGCATAATCGAACAAGTGGTGGTGTTGGTGTTGGCAGTGGTGGTCCTGTTAATTCTTTATTTACAAATAGATCTATGCCAGCTTCAATTCCTGTTGTAACCAATGCAATTATCGCTACATCAGAGACTACTACTACGTCATCAAGTGTGAATTCAAATTTTAATCGTCTACCACCACCTAATGCATCGATGGTCAATAATGAGAATAATATTAATAATAACAATAATGAGAATGTCAATCAAGGCGTCTTTGATGGTTCACAAATTTAAAATCTATTTCTCTTTTTTTCCATCATTATCTATTTTGTGTGTGTGTAATGTGTATGTACTGCGTACAACAGATACATCACATACACACACACACGTACACACACACACAGACAAGTGCATAGTTTGTTTTGATGCGTAAATACAATCTCTCTTTTTTCTGTGTAAACCTTAATAATAATAATAATGTACGGCTACCTTTTTCATGAGCGGATCTTCAGTTTATGTTCTATGCGGGACTTATTTTAATTCTTTTCCTTGAATTTGTTTCCTCAATGTTATTATTTTGTTATTTTAGGTTACCTTATTATTTTTATTTTCCTTCCCTAAATTTGTAGCGGGAGGGGTGTACATCACACACACACACTCCAACTAGCTATACACATGCATATATTATTATAATTTTTTCAGTTCATCCTTAATCTTTTTAGTTTTGTAATGTTTCTGGGTTTTTTTTTAAATGCTGATTCACGTGTCGTCGTTTTATCCTTGTGTGTGTTATTATAATATTATTACTTTATTTTTCTTCATTTGTTTTTGTTTTTTTTGGTTTTGTATTCCTACCTCTGTCCTTTATTATCCATCCACAAGACATCCAGGTTGCTTATAGTGAGAAACATTGTGAAGGAATTCTTCATTTATTATTACTACTAATAATAATATGATGATGTAATTGGTGTGTGTGTGTGTGTACATGAGTGAGTGGCACTCTGTCGGGGGCGCGCAATCTTCTACTTTCCCTGTATTCACTCTTTGTGTAAAACTCTTCTTTGCTCCAATCTCATGCAGGTGTAGTTACAACCCACATCTGTCGTCTAGTTTTTTATTTGTTTCTCTCCCATCTTTTTCTCTTCTTCTTTTCTATTTGCTCATGAAAACATTATCAAGCTGTGTTTGTATGATATAAATGCTTGTGAAGAAAGGAAGGACTAAACGAAGCAAGAGATCTGTCGTCCACTATTGTGTGTGTCTCAAAGCATAATTCCTACTTCTGTGTATTGTACGTGAATGGAAATCAGTCAGTGAGTTCAGTCACTCTGTCTATCTATCTATCAATATATATATATGCATATATATAAATATTTTTTTCATTATTATTATTGTTGTCTCATCCTAATCACGATTGTTTCATGTCGTTTATATATACATATATAACAAATTTATCCTGTAAATGTTTGTTTGTTTGTGTGCGTGCGTGCGTGTGTATGCGTGGAATATGTGAGACTGGATTCTTCGAAATCAAACATAATTGCTTTTACTATATCACCATGCCCGATCTTTTCTCCCTCACCCCATTGTCACCTCTCCCTCTCTCTCTCTCCCTATCTGTGTATACTTACTGACTTGTTCTGGTTTCCCGCTCCCCCCGCCTTTTCCTCTTTCTTCCCTTCCATTCTGGTTGCATTCTTCTTCTTTTTTTGTAAGCTTTTTGCCAAATATAAATGAAATTAATTAATGGAAGATAATTTTTTGATTGTAGTTGTTATTGACGATTTGTTTCCCCTCCCCGCCACCCCCTTAACCTTGTTTATTTTGCAATTGTGCGCTTCTCTTCTCTACTTACATTTTAGTGGTGCATGTGCCCTTGTAGATAGATGGATGGATGGATGGGATATAGGTACAGCAGGGTGAGAGTGAAAGAAAAAGGAAAATGGATACAAGGATTGTGAATAACTTGATGATATTTGTACGTGTGTGTGTGTGTGTGTGTAAATTTGAATGATTTTTCTTGATCATTCCAGTTTCAATATTCGTGTATACATACCACACTACCCTTTACCAGTGTTATCCTTTTTTTTTACAACCTTTATCCTCTATTTATGTACAACTGTGAGTTTGTGCGTGCGTGCGTGCGTGCATGTGTGTGTCTATTCATGTGTACTGACTGCTTTATGTGTTGTCTTAGCAGCACTAACAACTGTTATCTACTGTCACATCCTTTTCTTTTTCACTGAAGATATACAACATACACACGCACGCGCTTTTTAAAGGAGAGGAACAATCCCACATATCCATCGTATTTATCACCCCATTCACTACTTCTGTGTTGTCAACCCCTCCCCTCTTTATCTTCTTTCTCTTCCATTGTATTTGGTCGGCCTTTGTTGTATTCTTCAATTTTTGTCTTTCTGCTGCTGTTGCTACTGCCCCTTCCTGCTCCTCCTCCTTCTCCCTCCCCTGTACCCCCCCTCTCTCTCTGTCACACTCTGTCTTTCTCACTCACTGTATGTACAAAGACTTGTGTTTATGAGAGAACCAAAAGCAATGATAATATTAATCATAATAATAATATTAATAATAATGTTAGTTGGTCAGCTATAAAGTTATAATAATAATAATTATTATTAATAGTATATAAATATTGTGCTATACATATATACATTGTATTGTTTTTATTCTCTCCTTCTTTGCTATTCTCGTATGTTCTAATATTTGTGCCCTGCCCCTCGTCTCCCTCTCTCTCTCTCATTCTGTGTGCGTGTGTGTGTTTATTAGGATTACATGCAGATTGACGTATGTGTATGATTGTACTGTGTTGCACACACTCCCATTCTGTGTATATGTATGTTGATTAGATGGAAATATTGTATGGACCACATTCATATTTCACTGCATAATGAATGAACTAACTGACTGATGTGATCGTTATAACTATCCATGTAAAGTGTAGACATTCTGTCTCTTAGTAGTAATAATAGTATTAATATTAATAATAATATACTTCGAACTGTTAATTTCTGTCGAGTGTAATCAAGTACACACACGAGCGCGCACACACGCATACACACACACACACACACTGATTGACTGATTAGTTTCAACATAGAACATAGCTGTACAGAAATGCAGCAGTTCAAGTTGTCAAACTCCTTGTAAAAAAGTGGAGAGAGAGAGAGAAAAAGAGATTGAAAAAAACTCTATTGGTCAGGTGAATGTGGTCTTGTATGCGTGTCTCCGAAACACCAACCTTACAACCCTTTGGTCGAGATGTCAGAGTTCTCGCTATTGAGATGTATATTGTCCAATTTAGCAAAGATTACGGACGTTAAATACTCCAATATGAAGTTGACGACAGTGTTGTAGCTTTAGGAGACTGTCAGTATTGTTTTTTCCGGTTCTCTTCGTTATTATTGATTGATCATGAAGTGAAGAGAAGATTGAGGGATAAGCCTGTAGAATTGTACTAACAGTAGAAGGAAAACAATATGATGAAGGTGGGTTATGATCGGGAGAGTTTCGTGTGCTTTTGGAAGTTTGTGGGTGGTTGGTACGTCTCTGCTGCCCACATCGTGGAAGTTAATTTTTTCTTGAGGTAGCTGAAACAGAAAGAGAATTAGTCTTGCGTGACCTCTGAGCCCAGGGGACAACTGCTTGGGACCGATCACATACAGCCTGTTTGAACTGCTTTTTGAGATGTGTCCGTATTAGTAACTTACCGCAGGCTACGTACCGCCATGGGGTAAATAGGGATGTACAGTTTCTGCAGTTGACCTTTTCTAACTCATCTTCTACAGAGTGTTGAGGCAGCATATCTGGTATGCTGGCCATCTGAGGGATATGCCTTACCACTGTTACATCTCTGTTCGTCGACAGTTCGACTCTACCTATAGATCCTCAGCATGGCGTAATTATCCTACACTATGTCCGTAACTACTTTTAGTCTAATCGTTATGAATGCTAAATGCAAGTCCGCCTACCACGTCAAGGGAGCAACTATCGGTCGGGATCAAGTACACAAGCATATAAGCAAAGGAAATCATCGGATTTTCCTCTTCTCTTCTGTTGTTGAAACTATTAGTTGCCCGGAACAGGTTTTTTATGCATCAGGCAGGCTATGAGCTATATCCAGACTTTATTAGGTGGTGCGTGATACGAATCTTGTAGAGATTGGCTAAAAGTTGAGCGCTTTAGGCAATGAGCCACGTCTCCACAGAATTCTGTTCGTTTATCATTATTATTATTCCCTCGGGTTGCGAGCGGAACATAAATCTTCATCTGCATATCTTCGTTTCATTCTGGTCTCTGCAGTCCTTCCTAGCTGGCTCCACGATTCCTATCATCCATAAGCTTTCATCTGTAACAACAGAAGACAAGGGCCAGGCAACTGATCGTTTATTAAGGAAATCAACACATATTTATAGATTTCCATGTACAGTATTATAGACAATTGTTGGCAGAAAAATACAGTCCTCTGATTGGTTGTTTCTCACAGAAAGTTAGCCTTGCATCTCTGTCTCTGTTTCTTGAATGTCAGTTAATCTATGTGTTAACCGTCTACGCGAAGTCTTTGTTCTCATTTTTCTCTCGACTAATATTGGGGACAAACATTGACGTAAATTAATGTCCACCAATTTTGGCTAACAACCAGCTCTCACCACACATCTTTTCCGTGTCACCCTGAAGCCTACACCCAAATTGCTTCTCATTTTGGTTCTACTTGGGGACATGGTGCGTTATATCACTCGACGGTTTTCACAGTGTATATCCAATCCATCTCCCTTTCCTGAGCAGTTAGCCCTTGAATCGTTCGTAACTTGTCGCTTATCCTTTCTCGCCGGTTACCTGATTTTAAACATAGAACCAATGACTTCTAGCTTAAAGATAGGGAGTGTAGTAGCGGTGCGTATTGACTCTATCTGGATTCAACATAGAACTTGGCACCGAAGTGCAGCAGTTCGAGTTACCACGTTCCAAATAGCCCACAAAGGTAGACAAGAAGATGAGTGAAGAGAATGAATAGAGTTTGACAAGTAAAAGGGGAAGGTTGGGTGTGAGTAACTACTATGAGCCGCCCTACTCCGTATAAAATGATACCACTGCTAATGAAACTTGAGAACTTAAAGTCCTATATTTCACTGGGAATGCAAAGCAATACCAAAAGAATACATAAACCGTCAATAAGCACAAAAACCTTGTAAATTACTTTTTCAACTACATACATCATTTGACCTATTTACTAGCCAGACTATGATGAAATGTAATTAATAATCGATTTCTTCGGT